CTTCCCTAGTCTTTGTCACCAACACACAGAACAGAGGAAAACTGCATTTCATTTTATGACTAGAAAGATAATATGTTCTGCAGACAGAGGGAAACCATGCAGTTTATAAATTGCACTCTAAATTGACAACATTTTACCTGTTTCAAGTCCAAAAGTCATTCTGCTTTATTTCCCTAAAACCAAAACTAATTTTAGAAACACAAATAACATTTTCATTCTCAAAGAGAATATAAAATCACTGTCATTCTATTGTACCTAGACCAATAAAAATATAAACAACTGTGGCCAAGACATTAAACATTACAGTGTTGCCATTGCCATTCACATATGTGCTGTGGTAGATTGTCCCTTCAGACAGCTTAGGCTAGCTCCGCACTCAGTCCCCACCGGCTGGGCCCCAGCAACAAGCTAACCTACCAGTATCTGACCCCTGGTGGTCAATGCATCTCATAGTAAGTGGTTGAGTAGCCTTAGCATATCATTAGCATATTATGCTTTGATTGGCTGAATGGATGACTGGATGACTGGACATTTAGCATATGAAATGACCTAATGATGATAGTCATCTGCAAATAAAGGAGTTGGCCGAGGTCTTTTGTAAGGTCTTCAGCTATGATATTCTTTTGATTCTGTGACTCGGTCATGACCAACAAAGAATGATTTGGTGAGGTGAAAACAGCCATGTTGGTAGAAACCTTGGAGTCTGTGGTAGCAACAGAAGGGACCACTTGAAGGGAAATATATTGTATTTATAGAACCATTGTTCAACTTTCTGGAAATGCCACATGGGATTTGATGTTTGCCAAAATGCTAATGATAGGAAAAGCACAAGATTTTAACATATGGAAAAGTATCACCTACCGTATATAAAATTATTGAAACTATACAAATATTATCTAGTTCTTCTGTTACCAACTGCAAATCATCATGACATTGCTAAATTCAGAAGACATTTCAATCTGACCAATTAAATATTTTCTCATGAAACCAATATGTGTTTACTGGGTATAAGTCAGGAAAAAGAAATGTTACTTCAACAGGAATTGAACTTTAAAAGGGACTCCACTATTAGTTCTGCATCCGAGTGTGAGATATGGTTGTTATCAGACATGGTCAGACTTTAACCAAGTGAGAAATACCACATTTAAGAAAGAGCATGAAAGGGCACCAATAAGATTTTCTTTAGAAACATGTGGTGTGCCTAATGGATTTCTGTCTGAAGTGCTGGCCTTCTGCGAATGCGGGCTGCAGTTAGGGCTAAGTGCCTTCCAGCCTCGCTGATGAGTGCACCCAGCAGGGTGGGGGAAGCAGCCCACAGGTGAGTTGGCACCTACATTATTCTAAACAAGACGGTCACATTCCCTGAGGGGAAATGCAGAGCTCTCCTCAAAGATGGACCTTGGTGTTCTAGGTACAAAGAAATGAGCCTGCACATTTTCACATCATTTAGTGTTTAAATGCTGTTGGTTTTTTTCTTTTCCATGTAAGCTAATAAAAAGACAATTCCGTGTAGTATTGGGAATGCTAGTGCATTTACTTCCATCTCTGCCCAGTGCCTTCAGAGACAAAAAGCCAACTGGCAGGCCCTGTGTGAGGGTCTTGGATATTTTGCATTTCTTCCACACCTTGGATATGTGTAAGCCAACAAGGAAATCATTAGCAAATGCGTGGTGAACCTAATATTGCAGCTTCTCTTTACAGTTGTTACAGTTGTTATGTTTACAAATGTTAAATGATGCTTTCTCAGTGGCGTTAGTGTTAGTACATCATTCAAAAAGAAAGCCCTTGGGTGTAAAATATTCAGTTTTGCTCATTGTGTACAAAAAGATTTCTTTTCTGGCATTTTAGATAATTTTGTTCTCCTTAGACCCAAGGATTCTTAAACTGTACCAAGTGTCAACATCACCTGGGGGACTTGCTGCACCTTTGCTGTCCCCACCCTCAGGGTTTCCAACTCAGTGGGTCTGGAGGGAGCCTGAGAACCTGCATTTCTAACAAGAATCTAGGTGATGCTGCTGGTCTGAGGATCACACTTGAAAAACCACTGCCTTAAGACTGAGGAACACACCCAGCTGGTGTGGTTCAGTGGTTAAGTGTCAACCCATGCATCAGAAGGTCACCCATTTGATTCCTGGTCAGGGCCCGTGCCCTGGTTGCGGGCTCGATCCCCAGTAGGGGGCATGTAGGAGGCAGCTGATCTATGTTTCTCTCTCTGGGATGTTTCTGTCTCTCTCCCTCTCCTATCCTCTCTCTGGAAAAAAAAAAAAAAGACTGAGGAACTCATTCTCATTATACAATAGATATGCCTTAAGCTTCTTTCTGGCCCAAATCCATTAATAAACATTTTAACATTACAGTTTTGTTATTTAATATAGCCTTTGAATTTAGAAGAATAAAAACAATGGGGGGGGGGGGCAGTTGATATAGTTGCTGACTTCCTACACTGCTTTGAAACTGTGTTGAGGTAGTGTTGGAGCCCTTAAACAATCCCCGCCCACCCACACACCACCCGTACTCGCTCTGGTGCCATTTAAGGCCCATGCTCAGCATTTCGTAGTCAGGGTGTTTGTAATGGTTTGACTCCACGCAGGGAGCAGTTTACTGGGAACGAGGGTGAGGACTCCTGGTTGGTTTACGGAGAGCCCGGGCACTGGGTGGAAGGGGCTGGGCTGTGGCTGTGCTGGCCGTAGGTGGCCAAAGGGTCGCTGGGCCCTAGGCTGTTACCTCCCAAAGCCTGCCTGCTTGTGTCTTCAGCGGAGGTGTTTGGTGACCTGGCACTTTCCTTCTCGGCTGCCTGAAGGTTTTGTTCTCTTGCTCCATTCATTGGACGTCTGGTGTAAATTCACCCAGAGAGGTCTTCGTTGATGCACAGAGGGTTCCTGGGGAAGGCCTGGCTTCAAAGACAGGGCAGAAACCATTCATCCCATGTAAAATTAACTTTAAATGTCCCGTCTGCAAAGTGGAGACTATAATCCCAGTGCTTCCTGCTTCCAGGATGGGTGCGAAAATCTAAATAACATGTGAGAGGGAGGAGCTAGGCAGGTGGAGAGGGTGCGGTTCAGGAGGTGTTGCTGTGGCTGGCGCTCTGATGACAATCTCTCCAAAGGCTAGTGGAGCCTCCCTCTTAAAGGTCAGGTTCCAATGATTTGACTCTGAATATAACCAATCGTTGAAGGATTCTAGCATCTCACTTTGAATTATGTAAATAACTACGGAGTGGCTGTGTTTTTGTGAGGAAAACGGAGGAGAGTTCATATATTACTCATCCTGATTATTCACCAGCACAATGTGTCAGCCACAGAAATGACAATAACGATGGCTTTTGTTATTTTGAAGGAGAGCGGGAGTGCCAGGCTGGTATACAGACTGAGGTTCAGAATCTCAGGACTCTTCCACGTTAGCCATTGATTTTTTTTTTTTTTTAACTGTGAGTAAACCATTTTATCCTTTGCTTTTTGTTTAATTAAGTGAGGATCCAGTTTAAGATCATGTGACGGTACCAAGAGTGCTTTCAAGAAAGGAAGTATTTCATAAACTGTAGATCAAGTTTGAGTTTAACTGTGTGACCATTTAAAGGCCTGTTCTGCTTGATGGGTTTCAGGGACCTCAGCCCAGCAGAACAGGTCCTGTGTCACCTTGGTGCCCTGAGGAGGGAGCTGCCCTCCCGCTGGAGGCCCCGCCTGGGCGGAGTGGTCCAGGGCATTGCAGTTGCACTCCCAGCACCTCCCAGCGTCTACATCCTCCCCCCAAAGTGGCCTCTCCTTAACCTCCCACCCACACTCTGCACACACTCACTCCGCATCCCACCTAACTCAGTTGACTCATCCCTTAAGGACATGCCTCCAGTTAAGAATGGAATAAGTAGGGGGTGGCCAGCCTTCTTTGAGTGGAGGGCGTGTCAGACTCCAGGCTGCACTGTGACAAGGCTTTTCTGAAGGCAGCACCTTCCCTGAGGAGCTGTTGCCAATTTCACGCACTACAGCAGGCGAGGTGGGTGGGAATGGAGGAGTGTTTTTGAACAGAGACTCTTAGGTGCTTTTCAGATCCCCTCAGAAAGGAAGGAAACTGCCTGTGACAGATCTACAATCCCTCATCCTAAAGCCTGAGGCCCGAGGTGTTTCAGAATTCAGAATTTGGGGGATGGTCGCACCCAAGAGGGTACATAGGCCTTATAATATCGCCAGTGTGATCCGAGGCCTTGTCTGACCACCAAACACCGTAACATTCCCATGAAGAAGTGGGATGAGTGTGGTCCGTTCAGGTTAGGATGTGCCTCCAAATGAGTTTCAGCTGGGCCAGGTTCTACCAGCAAAGTAACATTAGGTCCTTAAAGCTTTTAGGATTTCAGAACTGCAGATGAGGAATTATGCACCTATACTTATTAACAATGGCTCACATTTTCCAAACCCTTATTGTGTGCTAGGCACTGTGCTAATTGAGCACTTGGAACACATAAACTCATTTATTCGTCTTATCAGCCTGTGAGATAGGAATTACTAGTCTCTTCTACTTCACAGAGTGCTACTACATCTTCCTTTAAAAAACTATTGATACCTATTAGAACTAATAAAAGAATTCAATAAAGTTGCAGAATACAAAATCAATATACACCTACAAAAAATGATTGGGTGCCTACTATGTGGCCAAGTAGCAAATAGTCCCTACACCCCCCACCTGAAATTTCTCCAGTCATGTGAGGGGGAGACGGGTGCAGAGACATGGGTGTGCTGTGGGAACAGAGGAGGGTGCCTGCCCAGCCTGTGCTTCAGGGAAGGCTCCCTGGGCAGGTGCTGGCTCAGCTCTGTCCTCTAGGCAGAGGAGGAAGCCAGCCCAGAGGGACAGAGGTCACTATAGCCCCTCGTTACTGCTATGTCCGCATGTTCAAGGTCAGCAGCTCTAAGACACATTGAGACATCCTTCTCCCCTTTCCCCCACCCCCTGCTCCCTGTGGTCCTTCCTTTATTTTCTTTAATGTAGCCCTCTTCTCTTCTCTGTTGTAGAACACCCATCTCAGCTTTCTCACAAGATAATATCTATGAAGTTCAGCCGCCAAGAGTAGACAGAAAATCTACAGAGATCTTCCAGGCCCACATCCAGGCCAGCCAAGGCATCATGCAGCCCCTCGGGAAAGAAGACTCCTTCGTGTACCGGGAGTACATCCGAAACCGCTACCTGTGAGGAGAGAGGGGCCAACCAAGTCCGTTTGCTTCTGTTGTCATCTGCTCTGTCTCATTTTAAAAGTGTGATTTCCTGGCAGACCTTTATATCTAGAGGGTTTTCCTTTTTTTGAAACTGGTTAATTATAAATATTAGGTTATAAGGAAATGACTGACTATTTTTGCTGTCATTGTCTTTGCTTTATTTTAAAAATACTTTGCTTAGAAATGTGATCAGTACAGTATCACATCATCACATTAAGAAATTAATTTAATAGTTATTTATTGAGCGTTGTGCCAGGCACTGCAGTAGGGTCTGGGAGTAACCACATTAAAAAAGAGAGAGAGACCAATAAATTCCTGCAAAATGAAGTCAGATTATTTTTCTTTGTAGTTAACATATTTTTTTTAAAAAAAATTTCTGATGGTTTTTATGTTAACTTTGTGTTTTGATAAAAAATCTATTACTTTGAAGCCCTTAAATATTTATGGATAAAGATGTCAGCAAAGTGCTCTCTAATGAGCCAAATACTAGTCATTGTAAATCTTGGAAAAAGTAAACAAAGGTCTTTGAACTATTCCTACCAACTTTCTATAGACATGAAATTATGTAAAATTAAACATTAAAAATCAGTTACCTGCTTAACTTTTGTAGTGTGTCATTGTGTCACATGATTTGACATTGGGTGTCCAGTCGATGACTCATCACGTCCACATACAGTCTGTTCTCTGTTCAGTCCAGCATCACATGGACGATGTCCAGCATTTTCCAGCAGTTTAACACGGATGGTTTGATCTCATTATGTCTGTGCTTTCCCCCCCAACCTGTCTCAGTTCTCCCTCTTCATAAACAAACTAGAGAAGAAAACCACGCATCTAATGCGAGAAGGAAACTGATAATCCGAAGTGACCTGCAAACCTGCGATTCCAGGGTTCTGTGGAAGATCCTGCATTGCAGATAAAAGTGAAGCCCTAAGAGTAGACATATTTGGTTAATACCATCATAAAACCAGGATGAAAAAAATGCCAAAATAATAGGCAAGAGGAATTTGGTGCTCAGAATAAAACTGCTTCCAGTGGCCAGAGAAGGCGAAACTGGCCCAAGGTCCCAAACATGATGCTTTTCTTAAAGTCACGTTTTGCTCATTTAAAATACATTCATGGGGATTGGTAAGGTATGTACACATATAATACCTTAATAAAACAAACAAATAAATAAATAAAAGTTAAAAATAAATAAACAAATAAATAAATCGTATTATCTTTTCCTCGTTTGCCCCCTGGCATTTTTTGTTTTCTCAATCTCTCCTGCCTCACCAACAATATAGCTAACTGATGATTGGTATGGTTAAATGGATCCTTTATTGAAGGAAAAGTTATCTATTTTACTTCCTTTTTAAGGCTGAATTTGCTCCCTTTGGAAGAGGCAATAGATTATTTGGAAATGGCACGTGTGCTGATGAGCTCCTAGCATAGGCCAGGGTCCTCTGTCCGCACACGAGCAGCTTCCTTCAGTAGATACTTGAGACCCCTTTTCATTTTCAGAAGCTGGAGGACCATTTACTAATGAAGAACAGTCAGCTATCATTTAACTCTACTACCCCCACACAAAATACTTGTATGGGTTCATTTCTTTGGTACATTCATCTGAGCAGACTCTGATGTGATTGCCACCCCATTGGTAAATAAGAACTGGAGTCTGAAATTCATCCTCAGTGGTTGAAGAAGACTTTTTCATAGAGAAAAATCACAAAACTAAACCACCTGCATTAGCTTATAGGAAAAAGAGGACTGGGGAACAGGATTTGCTAAGCTAGGCAGCAGCTAAGATGCTGATGAAAAGCAAGAGAAACCTGCTCTGGATGATGCGGGGAGGGTCACAAGCACTATGGCTTCCAGGTTAGTTGCAGAAACAAGGAAAGTGCCTCTGTCTGCAATTCTTTTCCTGCTAAGAAGCAAATTATCTCAGCGTTCCTCTACCATCGTTTTTTGTTTTTTTTTCCTTTAAAAAATGGGAATTATAATTTCAATACAAAGTTTTCTTTTCCCTGGTCCCCTCCCTCCTGCAACCCCCACCACACAATGATTGTACTTTAGAGGTGGCTGGGCTGGTGATAGAATTTACCATTGGGTCCCAAGGTGGCAGAATAGCTAAGACAGGTGCATTCCAAAGATCCTGCACTCAGTGGCCTCTTGGTGCCACCTGGGGCTACACCAGCTGGATTCTGAGTGATTTCCTGTGGGTGGGGGGAGTGCATGCCCACATATGTAGGAGGGGATCTCTGGTTGTGTTAGAAGACGTTTCTGGAAGTGTTTGGGGGAAAGAAGAGGGTCTGTGTGTCTGCTGGGCAGCTAGGGTTTCAGTGTGCACCTGCAGTTTTGTCTGGAACATCTCATCTTCTATGGCGTGCCTCCCTAACACACCACCCACTGCGAGCCCTCCTTCTGACCCAGGTCAGTAGGTCAGGGCGGGAGAGAGCTGAAATTCCCCTCTGCTTCTCTTTTTGTATTTGCACAAGGAGCATGTGCTGGGAGCCAAGCCGGCTGCTGGAGTTGAGCGTTAAGGGTGAGGAAGACTGCTCCTTGCCCTGAGGACTCTGCAGCATAGCGAGAAAGCAGTTTTGTGGACAGTCTCATACAAAATAATTTCCCAAGATCACTGCTCTACACCAAGCCCCAAGGAGGGTGTAACTAACTTGGCCAGGGGCATTTTTCCTGAACATGGTTTTAAGAGAAGGACCAGAAACTTGACGATAGGGCAGCAGAGGAGGCATGCAGAACAATGGAAACAAGCAGACAGTTTGGGGGCCTGGAAGTATTCGTCATGGCTGGGCTGGGGATAGTGGAGGGAAGAGGGAGGATAGGTGAGAAGGGAGAGGCTGGAAGTACAGTTGGAAAGATAGGTCAGGTGGGATTACGAAGGGCCTAATAGGCTCACACAGTAGTTTTCAAACATTTGCTCTTAGAACCCTATTACAATCTTAAAAATTATTGACGATCCCTAAGAGCTCTTGTTTATATGGGTCCTAGCTATCAATATTTATCACATATAAAAACTGAAAGTGATACTTAAAAATTTGTATAAATTCATTAAGATAATAACAAACCCAATCCTCTTAATATAAAGAGCATATTTTTTTAATAAAAAAATAACTTCTCCGTAACAAAACATAATAATAAACCCACCACATGCCAAATAACATTTTCTTGGTGAAAAGTAACTTAAAACAACAACAACAATAATAATAATTGGCATTCTTTTATATTTCAAACCTTTTAAGCATCTGGGTTAATGGAAAACAAGGATTCTTGTATCTTCTGTATTCAATCTGTTTTGACATATTGTTTTGGTTAAAATGTATAAAGAAAATCCATCATTATACAGGTAAGTTGGAAAAAGGAGTAACTTTGGGTTATTAAGGATAGTCTTTCTTAATACACAAGTACTCAATTGGTAGTTTCTTAAAGGTTAGGTGCATTGTGGAATCTGCAACTGTCAATGAACTTTTCACAGTGTGGGACATTAAAATCTGTTGGTCTTTGTTGTTCTTAGAGTGGATCTGTTATCCATGCCCGATTTTACAGCACCATGCATTGGTCATTTGGAAAGTCCACTGAGGCAAGGTGGTCATCCAAATGTTGACAAGCTCATTTATAGCCAACTTCAAGCATTGGGAAGCTTGTGGGGGACACAAGTTTTCCAAAATTCGTCTCAAAGCTCAAATTTATCTTTGGCAACAAAATACTCTCAATTTCCCCTGGAAAGACAGGCAGCCTCACTTCATTCATTTTCAAGCATAAAAGCTGCCAAAGAACCAAACCTGGTAACTGCAGCTCGTCTGATGATCTTTCTTTCAAATACGAATGGTCTTTCTTGGAAAGAGTGGCTAGTTTAGCTCATAACTCAAACAATTACAATATTCCTCAAGGTAACTTATATTTTGGTGCACTTCCCATATGGCCACACAGAATATTTCAAAAGACTGTGCTCAAGGGTGGAGATTTAATAAAATTAACTACTTCTGCTTTATCGGGGTCATTCTTATGTACAGCTGGTGGCTTACCTATCAAGAGTGCACGGTGGTGACGCCTGCTATGCTACCAGTACAGCTGGTGTCCCACCTTGATTCCTGCTCAGGCTTCTACAGTTGTATCCACATAGCTTTTTGCCCAATCAGTGCCAACATCGATACAGTGAGAAAGGCAAATAATGCCTTAGTGTCATTATGAAAATGGGGTGGCATGAGCCACATTTTGAGGACTACTCTGCTAAGAGACTACAGGCTTTGAGTGCTAACTTGTGGACAGGTGGGACCCCTGAGGGTCTTGAAGAGAGGGCCTCGGTCGGACACATTCTCCTCTGAGTGCTTCCAGCATCCTGGCTCCTTACAGCACTCAGCATACGGCTCTGTAGGGCATGCTAGGAGGCTGTCTCCTTAAGAAGACCGAGCATGTGAGAGCAGAGCCATGCTGCACTCATCTGTACCTTGCACGCCCAGAGGCCCCCAGGAGGTGCTGCTGAGAGAATGCTCCGAGGGTGACACTGAGACTCTGGAACAGGAGGAGACTTCAATCATCCTGTTGTCTTTGAAGCGTCTAATCCATTTAGAAAAATGTTAACTTGTGCCTGTTTTAAAACACATCTGGGGCACACAGTGCAGTATACAGATCTTGTAACATGGAAACCCACACCCAAAACCCATATGCTCATGTTGGCCAATGTCACCCCAATAAACTTGATTAAAAGATAAAAAAGACATTTGAGGGAGATTTGGCTGCACCATCCTTTAACCCCTCACTCCCAAACCTGTTGCATGGTTCTGCTACCAGTTGGGGTGTTCTGAGTACAGTACCATCTGCCTTGTCTTTCTGGAGGGGAAGGGTTTATGTGAATATAGGTTTTGCTTTTATGTATCACATCCAAAAAAATCAGCTAGTGCAGAACCTTAATTTTGTTGGATTTGATTTTTGAAACATATTAAAAATTATATTGACCATGTTGAAAATTCTTAACTATGTACTTTTTAAAATCCCTATTGATTTATATTTGATGGCTTTTTTAGAAGAACATAAGGTAGAGGTTAATGTGCTGTTTTTTATTATTTACTTAACTGGGGAGAATTATAGTGTAACTTTCTATTTCCAGATGAACTAGCTATAAAGATCTGTTTTTTCTCCAACAGATATGGATAACAAGTTTGTTACATTTGGCCTTGCCTCTGTAAAATCTTATGCCTCTGAAAACTCAATTTGAGAAAAGATACCACATGTTGGCAAGTCACGTGTGATAAAAAGCCTTTATGAATCTCTCTTCCCTGATTATGAAGTCATCTTTAATTCAGTTCAATAAAACATTTAATTTTGTCTGTATCTTCAGAGAGAGAGAAATTCACAGGTCAGCTTGTTCACAGAAAACATTTAGTAAATGGAAGTATATGACCTTTTAAATCATCATTTCAGGCCAATTAAGCTTGTGTAAAAAATCTATTTTATATTTTCCTCATGAAATCTTTGGGACAAAGATCGAGATCTTTGGAATAGTATAATAATAAAATTAAATGTCTCTATAAGCCTGAGAGTCTTCTACATTAAAAAAAAATTTATTCAAGGAACTCAATTTGCTACCTGCATTAGGACTCCTA